TGGGGGTGCTGAGCCGGGGGGTACGGTGCCTGGAGCTGCTGAGCTAGGGGGTGCTGGGTCTGGGGGTGCTGGGTCGGGAGCTGCTGAGCCTGGGGGTGCTACGTCTGGAGCTGTTGAGCCTGGGGTTTCTCCTGGTGCTGCGTCTCGCCGGGAGCCCCTCTCTCCACAGGAGCTGCGCGAGTGGTTTGCTCGCCGCTGGAGGCGTGCTGCTGGAGCTGGAGCTTCTTCGACCGTCGAGGGTGCTGGTGCTGCCGGTCCCGGAGCTGCTGGGTCTGCGGGTACTCCTGGAGCAGGAGCTCCTGAGGGTGTTGGTGCTGAGACTACTGCTGTCTGTCCCGGCGGTGGTTCTGCTACTGGTGCTGCTGGAGGTCCTGCCGCTGGAGGTGTTGGTGGCGCTGGTGCTGTCGCTGAGGGTGGTGATGCTGTCCCTGCTGAGTCTGGAGCTGCCGCGCGGCCTCGACCGTACTTCGTTCCGCTCCTGCAGCAGGTTCTTGGTCTTTCTCCTCCGGTAGAGTGTTCACACCCTGTCCAGTCACAGTCACTGTTGGAGCCTTCCTCTCCACTGCCTGCTCCCTCTCCTTACACTGGTCCTACTGGAGGTCTTGCTGAGCGTCGTGAGCCTGCGTCTCGTCCTGCGTCGCCTGTTCGTGCTGCTCGCACTAGTGGTCGCGGTTCGCGTCAGCGTCCTCCTCCTGTCCCTGGCACGCACCGGATGTCTCTGCGTCCGTCCACTGCTCCTCTGCGTGCCCCTTTGCCTTCTCCTCCTGAGTCCTCTCTTCCTGCCCTTGCCGACCCGCAGTCGGACTCTCTTCGTGCTGCCAGTCCTACTGTCTTGCGTCTGCTTGCTACTGTCGTCACTGACCCCTCTTTTGAGTCCACTGCTGCGTCTGCTCTTGTCGCTGAGCTCGTCGACTTTGCTGCTCGCTGTCGTCTAGACTACGCTGCTAGTCTTGTTGCTGAGTCTGCGTCTGTCTGTCCTCCGTCCGTCGGGGGTGAGTGTGCTCTTGGCACGGACGTCCTAGAGGACACGCAGAAGGAGTTACAGTGTCTGGCTGCTGCTTCACCTCATCTTGCGTCTGTACTGCTTGCTCCTGAGGGAGACCCGGATGCACTAGACATCCCGACTCCGCGCTCTTACGCGGAGGCGATAGAGGGTCCCTACTCGTCTCAGTGGCAGGCAGCTATGGATGCAGAGATGGCTTCCTGGAAGTCCACAGGCACCTACGTTGACGCAGTTCCCCCTCCTGGGGCGAACATCGTCAGTGGCATGTGGATCTTCAGGGTGAAGCGGCCGCCGGGCTCTCCACCTGTCTTCAAGGCGCGGTACGTTGCTCGTGGCTTCAGTCAGCGGCAGGGAGTTGACTACTTTCAGACCTTCTCTCCCACCCCGAAGATGACCACTCTTCGGGTGCTGCTGCACATAGCCGCTCAGCGCGACTACGAGCTTCACTCTCTCGACTTCAGCACTGCGTTCCTGCAGGGTAGCCTGCACGAGGAGATCTGGCTGCGCCGTCCACCTGGCTTCACTGGGACTTTCCCTCCTGGCACCCAGTGGAGCCTCCGACGGCCAGTCTACGGTCTCCGCCAGGCACCGCGTGAGTGGCACGACACACTGAGGACTACGCTTGCGGCTCTTGGGTTCGCTCCTTCTACTGCTGACCCGTCGCTGTTTCTGCGCACCGACACTTCTCTGCCGCCGTTCTACATCCTCGTGTACGTCGACGACTTGGTCTTTGCCACAGCGGACACTGCTGGACTCGCCTACGTGAAGTCCGAGCTGCTGAAGAGACACACGTGCACAGACCTGGGTGAACTGCGCAGCTACCTTGGCTTGCAGATCACTCGGGACAGAGCACGCCGCACCATTACCTTGACTCAGTCACACATGGTGCAGCAGGTCCTTCAGCGCTTCGGCTTCACGTACTCCTCGCCTCAGGCCACTCCTCTGTCTACTCGCCACTCGCTCTCAGCTCTGCCTTCGGATGAGTCCGTAGAGTCGAGTGGCCCGTACCCAGAGCTTGTTGGCTGCCTCATGTACCTGATGACCTGCACACGACCTGACCTTGCATACCCTCTGAGCATTCTTGCACGCTATGTTGCTCCTGGGAGACACCGACCAGAGCACATGGCTGCAGCGAAGAGGGTGTTGCGCTACCTGTGGAGTACGTCGGGCATGGGGCTAGTGCTTGGAGGGCGGAGTCCAGTGGTCCTTACAGGGCACGCGGACGCTTCTTGGGCTGACGACCAGGCTACGCAGCGGTCGTCACAGGGTTACACCTTCAGTCTTGGTTCCGGCTTTGTCTCGTGGCGGGCTACTCGCTCGTCTTCGGTTCTCAGCTCCAGTTGTGAGGCTGAGATCTACGCTGGGGCCATGGCTGCACAGGAGCTTCGCTGGCTCACCTACCTGCTGACTGACCTTGGAGAGCCGCCTCGTTCTCCTCCAGTGCTGTACGTAGACAACAAGGCCATGCTGGCCTTGTGTCGAGAGCAGCGTCTGGAGCACAGAACGAAGCACATTGCTCTTCGCTACTTCCTTGCTCGTGAGCTGCAGCAGCGTGGACAGTTGCGGCTTGCGTACGTGGCCTCTGAGGCCAACACTGCTGATGTGTTCACCAAGGCACTCGCGCCGTGTGACCATCAGCGCCTCTGCACCCAGCTGGGTCTTGTGCCTGTCTTGCCTCACTTGCTCTCCTCTTGACTTTACTTGTACTGTGACATATATATACCTGCTCTTGCTTGTCTAGTTTTATATATATATGTCTGTACTCCTGCATGTGAACTGGCCTCTGGCCCTGCTCTTGTGCTCGGACTGTGTGGTGACGTTGTGATCCACCCTGAGCTTGCTCTGCTTTGCTTTACTTGACTGGTCTTGTGACCCCTTGTTCTCCCCCACTTTGCCTATGGGGGTGTGTCAGATTTATATGACATAGTTGCTGTAGGCTATAGTGGGGTAGCACATATGGGGTACAGGGTTTCTAGGGTTGTATTTGTACCCAATCTTTCCTTAGTCATTTCATTCCTGTTTACTTGTTTCACATCATAGTCATTCCATCCTCGTTCACTTCTTCTCACATTAGGTAGTGCCACACGAAACTTTCACTACGAATCAGGACCTTCGCAAGTTCACAGGAGTGCGTGCTGCAGATGGTTTTACAGCGAATCAGCATCAAAGTCTCCTTTTCTTTACAATACATTAGCGATAACTTACATGTGACGAGATTTTGTCTTAGAAATCCCGTAATCACGCAACCATTTCCTCACCGTAACTGGAAGATATTCTCGACGAACGAGTGTATTTGGACGTCCCAGCTGTTGAAGTGTGCATTGCTCACGTCCTAGCACTCCACTGCCATCTCGGAAGTGGGAATATTGAAAGGAAAATTCCAGGAAACTTCGCTTCGATAAGCGCGCAGAGTGTACCCCCGATACAAGTCTGAGGCTCAGCCCACACTTAAAAAAATAGGCTGAAATTTCAGACAACTTATAAAAAAAAACCTCTGAAAAGTCAGACAAGGTACATAAAAAAATTCTTAGACCTCGCAATTTCACAGGAGTGCGTGCTGCAGATGGTTTTACAGCGAATCAACATCAAAGTCTCCTATTCTTTACAATACATTAGCGATAACTTACATGTGACGAGATTTTGTCTTAGAAATCCCGTAATCACGCAACCATTTCCTCACCGTAACTGGAAGATATTCTCGACGAACGAGTGTATTCGGATGTCCCAGCTGTTGAAGTGTGCGTTGCTCACGTCCTGGCACTCCACTGCCATCTCGGAAGTGGGAATATTGAAAGGAAAATTCCAGGAAACTTCGCTTCGATAAGCGCGCAGAGTGTACCCCCGATACAAGTCTGGGGCTCAGCCCACACTTAAAAAAATAGGCTGAAATTTCCGACAACTCATAAAAAAAAACCTCTGAAAAATCAGACAAGGTACATAAAAAAATTCTTAGACCTCAGAGTAGGTTAAAAAAAAAAGTCTGAACGGACTCTGAATCAGACTTTAAAGTCTGATATCTAGGTCACTGACCTCACCGTACTGCACCGCCTTGCTGTGTCTTCATTCTTCCACGACCCATCATCAACTGAACGCCACTGTGATCGAGGGGCTGGCGGGTGCAGCTCCAACGCTCGTCAGTTCGCCCCATCTGCCACTGGTTGATCCAATCATACTCCACTTGCATTGCAACCACCCATGCCCATCTCCCTCCATTGCCTTCCCCTTCTTGCCATTATTGGCTTGCTTAGACCCTCCCCCCCTGCGCCCCACTCCCGCAAGCACTGCTGCAGCTTGAAGGCCAGAAGACAATCGCCTTCCCCCACCTGCCTGCCAGAAAGGGGGAAGTCTAATAGTTTTCAAAGGAGAAGAGACAAACAGATATGAAGTTTGCAAGTGCGCATGCCGCTTTATGCTAACAACTAAGTGACTGCAAACAGCACTGAAAATGACATAGCAGGGGTGCGATGGACAGTAGCAGCAGCGGCTCACGTCCAGCATGGTGAGGGAAGTGAGTCCACTCTCGTGCTACTTACCAGCCAGCCCAACTGCTCTCGTCATTTTTGGTTTACATTCGTGTGATTATACAATATGACAATATACGATAAACACGTATATTCCAACATAAGATAGTGGTATGGAGGGGGTGGGAGGAGCGGGAACGAGGAGGAGCCAGAGGAAGGGGGCTGGAGAGGCCGGGAAGGGGGGGGAGCTGGAGCCGAAATGAGGGAAAGTAGCAGGAGATTGCAGAGTAGAAAACGATGGGGGGCGGTGCACACAAGCAAAGCGGTATGACTGCTAGAGATTATAAGGATCAAGTTCTCAGTACACACGGCACAATGACCGTTCGCACATGCTGTGCGTTGATCCGATACAGAACGCACGGCTGATACACTGGAAGTCACACTTGCATGGCATCGCTATAGTCACACACATCTGCATAGCATCAGTATAACTACATCACATACCTGTGTCTAGCATCATAGCCCAGACAATGGCCTCAGAGGGTGAAGACACTGGCCCACTCGCCACAGCAGCCATCCCTGGCGTCCTCTTGAGTCAACTCAAGGGACACCTTGACCTGGAGGAGAGAGGGAAGGAAAGAGGAGGGGAGGAGGAACAAGAGGGGCGAGTGTGCTTCAACTCGGCCTTGCACACTCTCCACAGCAGCCCCTTCCTTGTGTTGATTAACCGTGGAGTGGCGGAGGAGGAAGAGAAAGAGGGAGAAAGAGGGGGCGAATGTGGTTCAACCCACCCAGCCCTGCCCACTCGCCACAGCTGCCGTACCTCGCGACTAGCAGATGTGTGCGGGGAGAAAAGAGGGGGGGAAGGAAGAGAGAAGGGGAGAGGGTCGACTCTGAACCAGCTCAGCCCTGTCCACAGAGGCATAAAGAGAAGATGGCTCAGAGCCTCAGAGTGAGTGAGGAGCTGAAAATGAGAAATCAAGGGAGGGACAAGTCGTCAGAACAGAATGCCATACGTGGAAGGCGGTAGTGGGTGGTGATTATGGAATAAATATTCCTCCTGTATTTTTCTCCACTCCCGCTCCTCTCCCCCACTCGCCCCTTGCCTCCCCCTCCCTTCCCCTCCCCTCCTCTCCCCTCCCTTTACCTTCCTTCACCTCCCCTCCCTTCCCATCCCTTCATGTCCCCTCCCCTTTCTTCCCCTCTTCTCCCCTCCCCTCCCTGCCCCGCCCCTCCCCTCCCCTCCCCTCCTCCCCCCTCCCTTCCCTCCCCTTCGCTCTCCTCCCCTCATCCCTCTCCCCGCTCCTCCCCTCGTTCATCTCCCTTCCCCCTCTCCTCTCTCCTCTTCATCCCTCTCCCCTCCTCTTTCCTGTCCCTCCTCCCTCCCTTCCTCCCTCCTCTTCTCCTTTCCCTCCCCCATGCCTCCCCTTCCCTCCCCGCTCACCTGTGCAAATTCACATGCTGCCCCTACTCCCAGCAGGTTGTTAAAAGCGCAGGTGGGGGTGCGTCAGCCGGTCCACTCATTTGGCCTGAAACTATCTCGGCCTGAAACAACCCCCATCCCTTCTCCCCTCACCCGTGCAGCTCCACGCACAGAAGGTCGTGAGAGCAAGGCGAGCCGCGACTGTGGAAGGCACAGGAGGAGGTGCGGCAGCTTAGACACTCCTAGCTCTCAAACCCATGCCTCACACAAACCTCCCCTTCTCCTTCCTTCTAGTCCCCTGCATTTCGCCCCTCGCTTGTGCAACTCCACCACGCGCTGCCCGCCAATAGATGGTCATCAGTGGAAGGCGGGTGATTGTCGTGGAATGCACATGAGGGGAGTGGGTAAGTAGCAGCAAAAGCAATCCTCTCACTCTAAACTATGCCTGACACCATTCGCCCCTCTCCTCTGCCGCTCCCGTCGCTCAACCATGCAGCTTGACACGCTGCACCAACGCCAACGCCATCACCATTCCCAGCTGCAGTAGGTCATCAAAAGAAGGCGAGCCGTTGCCGTGGAAGAGGCACACGAGGAGGTGAGGCCGTGCGACACTTGTCTGTGTGGGGAGAGCGGGAGGGCAGGAGCGGGTGGGAGGGTTGGCAAGGACAAGGAAGGAAAGGCACTGGCAGATGGACAAGGGATGATCATAAAAGTGATGGCTAGAAGTGTTGGTGCAACCCTATGGTTTGCACTCGGCTTGTTGTCCGTGTGCATGCATGTGTGTGGGTATGGAATGGTATGAGGGCATGGGATAATATATCAACCGACCCTTGCACCGACCCTTGCACCGCCATCTCGACTCGAATCCATAGCTGTGTGGCTGTTCAATATCATGGCAATAGACCCTGACTGACATAAAACTGTAGCCTGAATTTTCATCTTCCCCCATTGAACCGAACCTGCCCAGTTTGACCCAGAGCCTACATTTCACTACCTAGTTCGACTCGGACCGTTTCGCTTTGACCTTTAACCAGTTTGTTTTCGACTGGAAAAAAAAAAAAAAACCAGACAAAATTGGTGATGTGGTTTACTCATGCCTATTTCACATAGAGCTGGAGGCAAAAGACAGTGTCATTACAGATACTTCCGTGGAGCACCAGCAAGTATGGGATAAAGTGTTGCACCCAAAGCATTAGATCCAGGCTGAAGATTCTGCGATTCCAACCCAAAACTCATAAGTCAGTCCGAACCAAAAGGACTACCTGGCATCTGCAAGAACCTGGGCTGGAATGTGGTGACTAAAAACCCATGTGTTTTCTTTTATAGTTGAATGTGTTAGTGATCTTTAGGCTTTGATGACACCCAGCTTTTACTTCGATTGCTTGCGTTGTGATTGCTTCATCTAGGTTAGGCGTCTACAATTATATCTTACCTTGAAAAGAACAAGTACTTGCTGATTTTTTGCCATCCATATCAGTTTCGCCTCCTCCTGCTGCCCCTTTGGTGTGGCATTGTGTGCACAGCAGCCAGCTCAGCAGCAGCAGCACAAGGACAGCCACAGCCCCAGCAACAGCAATGCCAGCTATGGCTCCGCTGGATAAACCGCCTCCAGTTTGGGAGGAAGAGGGTGTAGGCTCACTGGGAGTTAACGTGGGAGGAGGTGGGGAGGGGCTTGGCACTGACGATGGGGAGGGTGTTGGCAGTGGCGATGGGGAGGGTGTTGGCAGTGGCGATGGGGAGGGTGTTGGCAGTGGCGATGGGGAGGGTGTTGGCAGTGGCGATGGGGAGGGTGTTGGCAGTGGCGATGGGGAGGGTGTTGGCAGTGGCGATGGGGAGGGTGTTGGCAGTGGCGATGGGGAGGGTGTTGGCAGTGGCGATGGCGATGGTGTTGGCACTGGTGATGGGGAGGGTGTTGGCACTGGCAATGGCGATGGTGTTGGCACTGGCGATGGGGAGGGTGTTGGCACTGGCGACGGGGAGGGTGTTGGTGATGGGGAGGGTTTCGGCACTGGTTATGGGGAGGGTAAAATCATGGGGTAGAAAGACAGAGATTGGGAATGGAAAAGGCAATCAAACGTGGGGATGATGATGGGCTTGGTGAAATGGATGTGGAATTAGGAACAATTTGCATGGGGAGAGGAAGCAAAGGAATGCATTGAAGAGTTGAAACAGGTATTCTTCAGTAAAATCCACGAGGAGGCTTGCAAAAGAAGCACACAATGAGTAGCTAAGCTATGCTTGTTACTGTGCCTGACACTGCAAAATCTAGCCAAGTAGGTGGCAATGCAATGTTTACCCACTCAGCACTAATGAGAGCAAAGTACAAATGGCAGTACAAAAAGCAGCCACCTGCATAAGGAGCGTCTAACCTGGTGGAGACTTGTCACACGTGGTGCAGAAGGAGGGACACTGAGTGCAGAAAGCACTTGAGTTGGTCTGTGGGACGATGCAGCTGCCGTAGTCAGGAGGGCATGTGATTGCCGTTGAATTTATATCCCTGCATGTCCACATGGAGTGTTCTCAAATTATCACTCATCAACGGGTTTCTGATTTGAGTGAAACTCTCTGAGGTTGTTGAAGTATGGTAGCACACTGCAATACTATACTAAGGCAAGATTTTGTACAGGTTGTGATTTTGAGTCAACCATACATGATTCATCTGTGCCAGCTATAGCAAATGAAGTGATGTGCACCAGAAAGGTTTGATCGCTATCGAGCTGAAGAGAATTGGGTTGGACCAGCCCAAGTCAGGCCCAGCTGATTTGGATACCTATGGCTGCACCTGCAACAAAATTTGGCCTTTGGTACACCAGTGGAATACCTCCTCTTCGCAAAACGCTTCAAGGTTGTCTACAATGGAAATTGCAGCATTTTATATGCAAAGATGCCTTACAGGTCAAACAGACGAGCAATATTGCCCAATGTTGGAGGGAGCTGGCCAGTGAGATTGTTCCAACTGACATTGCTGCAATGAAAATGAAAGATAGCAGACAGGATTGACCCAATCAAAGCACCGCTAACTTGACTCTTGATGGCAAACCAGGCTGCTTCTAACTGATGGACCGTGACAAACCCCATCGCTACTGGACGAAGGGCACATGCCACCTGAGCATGCCAGACACATATGATCCTGCAAATTGTCAAACAGGGAGCTCAATTTTGAGCTCGAGGACAAGAATAGGTCCGAGGCGATTTAGGTGGAAAATAAGAATTGTCAATAAAAAAGCGTTTTTTCTTTTTAATTATTATTTTTAATAGTATCCCATTGCACGCTCCATCACAGACTTCCTGGTTCATCATCAGCACTTCTAACAGTCCCCTCACCCTACCCACAAAAAATGCCCATGTTACAGCAGCAATTTGGCCTTGGTAGTGAAAAAACGATGGTTTTCTTTCCACCCAAATGCCTTTTCGTTATTTGCGATACCATTCTTTACGGCCAATCTTTAAAAAGTAGATATTTTCTTGCACATTGTAACGTTCGGCTAGTCAGCCTACAGGCTCATGGCAATTTCAAACAATTGTCTTTGGCCTATCTTCGTGAAGAGTCTTTCATGCCTCCTAAAAGACATTTGTGATGGTGGCAAATGCTGAACCACTCATGAGCTTTTCATTCTTGGCCCAACTCAAACGGATGGACCACGGCTATGAAACTGAGAATATTACCCAGCCCAAACCCCCTCCCAATCTCGTCCCGGTCGTCATGTCTAGCCGTGAGGCATACACCAAACCGGCCTAGGTTCTGCTCTTGCTCTCGCTGATACCTAAAACCGATCCGCTTCTCCCTCACTTCTATCAATGGTAGCACATGTCTAGGAAGAGAAACCACATTCTGGCCAAGGCTGCGTGGTAATGAAACATAAGCAAAGGGTCAGGCAAGGGCCAACCCAGGTGCATCTCAAACTCTTGTGGATCAGCTGTCAGTCCCTGCCACTCGCCACGTGATTTTACATCAATTAGGCTTGGTGTCAGGCTGACCCATTGCTCACTGTCACGGATTAGGTGGAAAGGTTTCAACTTTACATGGTTTAGTGGGAAGCCCCTGTGATGGACCCCTCATAGATGGGCCCAAAAATGACCATTGACTGCTAATGGGCCTCGATGGCCCCTGTGGGTTGCCCCCTGCTCTCCTTCCTCATGCTTAGTGTCTTCATAATCAAACCAGAAAGCAGCTTGGGCTGTAGTTGAAGGAATAAATCAGAGCCTTTCAAGCCAAAGCAAGAACCACAATTGATTTGCCTTGATACTGACAGGTATACAAGGCTGCTCATGCTGCCGAGAGTGGATGGAATAGAACCAGTAAAACTGTTGTTTTGCAGAAACCTGATGGCACATACACACGAAGAGTTACATCCAATTGAGAGCAAGATAGGGTAAGTAGTTGGGGGGAGAGAGGAGAAGAAACAGATTATGAAAAAAGTCATGATGTAAGCATATAATGACACATGAAATAATACTAGAAAGCGGTTATGGGTGGCTGGCAAAGTGATTATGGATGTGACACGAGGTGCCTATCCGAGTGTGAACACAGTCGGGATATCTATACTTCAACATTGGATTCGTAACAGAAATTCTTAGCTAGCAGAATGACGAGAATGGACTAAGAGTTAACATAAGAGGATCCGTTCTGAAATGCTGTGCGAGTATGCAAACATGTATATACTACTACAGCGGTAGGCGTGAGCAGGAGGGCAAACACCTGTTTGGTTCGCCACGAACATGTTTGAAGCGAACCGAACAGGGTGTGTTTTTTGGCCCAAAGTGTTCGCCAAACACGAACATGTGTTCGTCCGAACATGTTCCTGTTCGGTTCGGCGAGGAAACCCGAGCCGCGCCGAACACGCACATGTTCGTGTTCAGAAGAGGGGTCCGCCAAACACGCACAAATGTGTTCGTCGAGCATTTCTTCATGGGATCTGCACGGATCTAGGATTTCGCCATCTGTTACGCTCGAATCTGGCATTTCGCCATCATTAACGTGCAGATCTGGCTGTCTGTTAAGTGTGGATCTGGCATTTCGCCGTTAGTTAAGTGCAGATCGGGCATTTCTCTGCCATTTACGTGAAGATTTGGCATTCCGCCGTCAATAAGTGCAGATCGGGCATTTCTCTGCCATTTACGTGAAAATCTGGCATTCCGCCGTCAATTAAGTGCAGATCGGGCATTTCTCTGCCATTTAAGTGAAGATAAGGCATTTTGTCGTCAGTTACACGCATGTCCTGGCACTAGCATGGATGAAGCAGGGCAGGACTGGCTTGGGGGTGGGGAAGGAAATGTGCCACGATTTGAGTTTTACTCGATTTGAACCTTACAGCCCACCTAACAAACATCAACAATCCACAATTCACAAATGTGTGACTATAAAGAATGCTGTCACGGGGCGAACACGAGCATTTTTTCCACGAACCCGTTCGTGTTTGCCTCGAACACCAAGGTGTTTGCCTGTGAAGGCGAACGGCAAAGGCGAACACAAACATGTTTGCGTTTGTTTCTTGCTCATCCCTATGCAGCGGCGAAGAGCATAGCATGAATATTGATATTCCTAGTGGCCGAAGTGGATAACCGGGTTTACACACATTTTGAAAATGATTTGCATGGATAGCCGAATGTTACCATTTGAACACTAAATGTGTAATGGACACTTTGACAACCCTTTGAAAGCATTTGTCCATGCACGTAAGACCTAGTTTTGAAAGCTCCAGGGTTCCTCACAATCCTTTCGGGAGCTCTACACTTGACGGTTGGTAGGAATGGATTACAAACATCCATTGTTGACATTCAGGATTATTTCCTAATTCCCGAAATAATTTATGCAATAAAAATTCGATTCTTGGATTTGAATAGGTCTAAGATCAACCGGCATGAGACGGTGAGAGGTTGAAGCTCTAAGTAGCAACGCAATGTTTTAATTGGCATGAATGATAGCAAGCAGCTCACAGTCACGGGTGGCGTAGTTGCGTTCGTTAGGTTGAAGCTTGCAGGACTCAAAAGCTATTGGTTGCAGCCCATGTCTAAGATCTTGGCAAAAAATGGCGCCAACAGCAACGTCAAAAGCACCCGTCCAAATGAAGTAATCTCGTGATGGGTCGGCGACGGTGAGAACTAGTGCAGCAGTTAGGGCCGCCTTGATTGTAGTGAAAGCAGCATGTTGAGGTTGTTCCTATTGAAAGACAACACCTTGGCAAAAGAGGTCGGTCAAGGGAGAGCAGATATGCAAGAAGTTGAAGATGAACTTGCGGTAGTACTTGGTGAGGCGATGAAGCTTTGCAACTTTGCTACCGTGCTTGGTGCTGGCCAATCAACAAGGCACTAGACCTTCGTGGGGTCTATAGCGATGCCTTTTAAGCTGATGATGTGTCCAAGGAATCCATCGCTGGAACGAGCGAAAGTACACTTCGACAACTCAGATTAGAGGCGGTGTTGGCGGAGTGTATCAAGTACGATGCGAAGATGTTGCGTGTGTTCTTCGAGGGACTTGATGAATATGAGAATGTCGTTGAGGAGCACGACGACGAAACGATCAAGAGAAGGTCTGAAAATGTCGTTAATGAGGCCCATGAAGGTGCCTGGAGCATTGGTGAGGCCTAATGGTAGAACACGGAACTTGAAATGACCATAGCGGGTGCGGAACGCCGTCTTAGGAGTGTTTTCTTCGGCAAGGCGAATCTGGTGGTAGCTGGAGTGTAGATCAACTTTGTTGAACACGGTCCCTTCTCGAAGCATGTCGAAGAGTTCTTCAATACGGGCAGCGGGTACTTGTACTTGATTGTGATGCCGTTGAGTACACGGTAATCCACACAAAGGCACATATCTCCTTTTTTCTTCCTTGTGAAAAGCACAGGGGCAGTGTAGGGCGAGGTGGTTAGACAATTGAAGACTTTGGCGTAGGTTATCGACCGTGGTCATGCGATATGTAGGGCCGGATGGTGGTGTAGATCCAGGGACGAGACGAATGTTATGGTCGATAGCGCGGTCGGGTGGAAGTTCGGCATGAAGATCTTCGGGGAACGCGTTGGCGTAGCCTTGGAGTAACTTCCGTATAGGTGATGGGAGAGAGTTGGGTGATGATTCAGATTTAAGAGAGGTGAAGATGACTAGGAGATGACGAGGAAAAGGTGATGAAGGAGGGGTGGGGGCTGGTGGATTGACATCTTCAGACTTCAGAAGCGGGGCTGACGATGGGACGACGTGGCTGCTGGGTCGGGTGGGGTGGAGAAGGAGGTGTGTTGATCACTTCGGGGGAGCCGGGTGGTGTTGGCTGCGGCGTGGGAGCTGTGCGGGGAGGGAGAGGGGGGATATGTGAAGATGGAGATGGGGCAGGTTGGGGTGGATGGGTGGATGAAGCTGAACTAGTTAAGGATGACCATGGTCGGTGGTAGGAGCGGGATGGGAGATTGTAGTTGCTGACCATGACAATCGCGTTACGCCAATAAATTTGCGGTCCAAGCTGGTACAGTTACGGTCGACCGAGAGCGCCCTTGTAGCCGTCGAGGTGGAGTTGCCCGAATGTA